TGTATTGGGCAAATGGATTGTTGACATTTCAATACCGATCCAAAGTTATTTCGAGGTTATGATTGTACAAGCAGCTGCGTCAGTAAAGGAAAGAAAATATTTCAGAATTACGTTTCCAAGACCCCATATACCTAACTTAACCTAACCTAACCTAACCTAACCTAACTTAACTTAACCTAACTTAACCCAACCTAGTCTAAGTTAAGCTAAGCTAAGCTAACTTAAGCTAACCTACCCAACACATCATAAGCCTAACATAATCTAACCTAGCCTAAAACAAGACCTAATGAATCTTCACATAGATAGAAACGTGCTAAATAGGAGAAAGAATTCACGATTGCTCACACCATTACAAGAAGCGTTATGTCTGTCTGTCTGTCTGTCTGTCTGTGTCATCCACCAGTCTTGTCTGTCGCCATAAAGAGAAGTATATAGACGAACAGATTATTTTTATTTCTACCATAAACAACGTCTTCTCATGACGAACGGAGCACTTTCTATAACTTATATCCAACACAGAGGATCGCACACAGAGCGGTCGCACAGAAAGGTCATGCACAGGTCATGGGACAGGGCAACATGTACACAGGGTGGCGGTCAGTACACAGGGCAAGGTCATGCACACAGGGCAAAGCGTCGCGCCAGCGCACACAGGGCGTCATGTACACAGGCGTCGCGGCAAGGTCATGCCAACAGGGAATGTTCATACAACGGCTGGACATCACGGGCAAGGCGGACACAGGGCAAGGTCATGCACACAGGGCAAGGTCATGCACACAGGGCGTCATACACACAAGGCAAGGTCATGCACACAGGGCAAGGTCATGCACACAGGGCAAGGCATGCACACAGGGCAAGGTCATGCACACAGGGCAAGGTCATGTACAGGTGAGGTCACACACACAAGGGGGATCATGTACACAGGGCAAGGTCATGCACACAGGGCAAGGTCATGCACACACAGAGGGCAAGGTCATGCACAGAGGGTGAGGTCGTGACACAAAGGGCAAGATCATGCACACAGGACAGACATACACACAGGCAAGGTCATGTACACAGGGTAGGCAGTCAGACACAGGGCAAGGTCATGTACATAGGGCAAGGTCACGTACACAGGGAAGTGGTCAGACACAAAGGCAAGGTCATGTACATAGGGCAAGGTCATGCACACAGGGACAGGTCATGCACAGTAAGGTCATGCACACAGGGCAAGGTCATGCACACAGGGTAGGGTCATGCACACAGGGCGTCTGCCAACACAGGGCAAGGTCATGCACAAAAGGCAAGGTCATGCACAGGAAAGTGCATGCACACAGAAGTCACCGGCACGGGGCCAGGCAGGTCCGTGCACACAGGGCATGGTCAGACACAGGCAAGGTGATGCACACAGGGCAAGGTCATGTACGGGCGTCAGACACACAGGGCGCCGCACACAGGGCAAAGGCATGGCAACACAGGTCAGACACACAGGGCAAGGCCAGACAACACACGGCAACAGAACACAGGGCAAGGTCAGACACACAGGGCAACGTCATACACAGGGCAAGTCAGACACAGGGCAAGGTCAGACACACAGGGCAAGGTCATACACACAGGCGTCAGACAACAAAGGGCAAGTTCACAACACAGGATCAGACACACAGGGCAAGGTCAGCCACACAGGGCGTAGGCAGGTCATTACGACAGGGGCAGGCCAGCCACAGGGCAAGGTCATAACACAGGGCGTCAGACACACAGGCGTCAATAACAGGGCATCAGATCATCAACAGGGAGGTCATACACAACAAAGTCAGCACAGACACCGGACAGCAAGGTCAGCACACAGGGCAAAGCACACACACAGGGCAAGGTAACAACAGCATCGCACACGGGCCAGCACAGACCACAGGGCAGGTCAGACACACAGGCGTCACACACACGGCAAGATCATGCCAACAGGGCAAGGTCAACAACACAGGGCGGTCAGACACACAGAAAGGTCACACAGGGCAAAAGGCACTCACACAGGGCGGCACGACACACAGGGCGTCATGCACACAGGCCAGCACACACAGGGCAAGTGCTACCAAGGTCAGACACACAGGGCTGCATGCCAACACAGGGGGCGGCCCACACAGGGCGCAACACACAGGGCAAGGTCACACACATAGGGCAAGGTCAGACACACGGAAAGCAAGGTCATGCACACAGGGCAAGGCCACCACAGGCGAAGCACACACAGGGCAAGGTCAGACACACAGGGCAAGGTCAGACACACAGGGCAAGGTCAGACACACAGGGCAAGGTCATACACACAGGGCACATCGCCAACAAAAAAGTGTAGCAAGGTCAGACACAGGGCAAGGTCAGACACACAGGGCAAGGTCAGCACACGCCAAAAGGTGTCACACACAGGGCAGGGCCGCACACCACAGGGCAAGGTCAGGCACACAGGGCACACAGGGCCTCATACACACAGGGCAAGGTCATACCACACGAGCGTCATACACGGGCAGGGTCATACACACAGGGCAAGGTCATGCACACAGGGCAAGGTCATGCACACAGGCAAGGTCATACACACAGGGCAAGGTCAGACACACAAAGTGGTCATGCACACAGAGCGGCACACACAGGGCAGCGTGCCAGACACAGGGTAAGGTCATCAACACACAGGGCAAGGTCATACACACATACAGGGCAGGTCACACAGGGCAGGGAAAGTGTCGCGCACAGGGCAAGATCATACAAACAGGGCAAGGTCATGTACACAGGGCAAGGTCATGCACACAGGGCAAGGTCATTCCACACAGGGTAGCACATCCACACAGGGCAAAGTCATGCACACAGGGGCAAGGTCATACACACAGGGCAAGGTCAGACACAGGGCAAGGTCAGACACACAAGGTAAGGTATGCACAAGTGCGGTCAGGCACATAGGACAAGGTCAGGCACACAGGGCAAGGTCAGACACACAGGCACGGTCAGACACACAGGGCAAGGTCAGACACACAGGGCAAGCTCAGACACACAGGGCAAGGTCAGACACACACAGGGCAAGGTCAGACACACAGGGCAAGGTCAGGCACACAGGGCAAGGTTAGGCACACAGGGCAAGGTCATGCAACACAGGGCAAGGTCAGACACACAGGGCAAGGTCAGACACACAGGGCAAGTCAAACACACAGGGCAAGGTCAGGCACACAGGGCAAGGTTAGGCACACAGGGCAAGGTCAGACACAGGGCAAGGTCAGGCACACAGGGCAAGGTCACACACACAGGGGTCAGGGGCACACAGGGCAAGTCACAGACACACAGGTGCAAGCACACAGGGCAAGGCTCACACACAGGGGCAAGGTTAGGCACACAGGGCAAGGTCACACACAGGGCAAGGT